TGGAGGTAGAGGAGGTGGTGGGAGGGGAAGAGGTGGTTGGGGAGGGGGAGGGGGAGGGGGGTGGGGCGGAGGTGGAGGAGGGGGTGGTAGAGGAGGAGGTTTCCAAGGCAGGGGAGATTATGGTGGAAGAGGGGGCTATGGAGGAAGAGGGGGCTACGGAGGAAGAGGTTATGGAGATCCATATGGAGGAGGTGGTGGTGGATATAGAAGATATTAAAAGCTACAGCATTTAGATAGCAGGCTTACTTTTTAATAGATACATTAGGCATAGTGTTCTAAATAACTACTTGAATGTCATCTTTGAAGTAAACACCATGTTAGATTCCCTGATGATATCATTCTTGAATTGGGTTTAGTATGTAAAGAGCATTGTTTTATACTACTATTCGATCTCTTAGACAAAGTGATGATTTTTTCTGTATTCTGTGTACTCTTGAGCATGTTATGTCTTTTTAAAAAACAAAAACAAGCAAAAATTATTTTTAAAAGTGTAAATATATTATTACCATCAAACTTGGAAAATAGAAAGTATTTTATTGTCATGATTGAATTTAGATTGTTACCTGTATTTTATTCAGGTCTGAAACACATAAATGACCCCACTTGTAGTGGAAAGGAATATAGACTATTGCCTCATCTGTATTCCTGTGGCTGTGTTTTGTGTTTGTTAATCCTACTTTACAAAATAGGGAAAGGGACTGATTGATAGTTGTGTTCAAGAGGAAGATTTCTTGACTTTTTCTTTCTTTTATATGAGCAATTCCTCTGGCCAGGTTTGTGTTAAAATTCCATTAATTGAAGCTGAAGTCTGGTTTTTGCTATATGCATATTTGATTTATTTTCCAACTGGATTTGAAATCTATATGATTTTGTTTGACAGCAGAATTAAAGACTGAGGTCAGAATTACTCTAAAGGGACAAAGACATGTACTAATTTTACATGGTGGTGTGAAAAATATTTCTGTAAATTGGTTTCTTCATCATTTGTGCCATCACTTTACATCTCCAAATATTAAAAGGCAGGCTGCACTGTGCTACACAGGATTAGGACACTCATATCCAGTTTCAGTAGATCAGAGGTAGGGCCAGGGTATCCCGTGGTAATTCTGATTCTCAGCTAGATTTGGGAAACAGGGTTGGGGAATGATTAAATGTGGTTTGGTGGTTGGAGCAGTCGAAGGCTTGGGAATCAGGAGTTGTGAATTCAAATCATGGCACTAGTCCAGGGGTGCTGTGGGTTGAAAAGGCCATAGCTCTCAAGGATTAATTTGTCCTCATTTGTCAAATAAGGAATGTGATCCTTGTGCCTTCTCAGGTTGTTTTATAAAGACCTAAGTACAAGTCCAATTTGTTGAGAATTTATAAAGGCCTGTTGTGAATGGTTTAAGAGGTGGCCCAAGTAATGCATTTTTCTCTTAGTGTAGAGAGAGAAAAAGATAGTCACATAAATTTTTTCAATCCCACTTTAAAATATATAGGCTCCTGGTCAACTCTTGTGCATAACAACTTTCTGTGGTCTAATCAACTCAAAAGATAGAAGGCTGAGTACCTGTGGACAAATGTGATATTTGGGGTCTAATCAACTCAAAAGATAGAAGGCTGAGTACCTGTGGACAAATGGTATTTGATATTTGGCAGTGTTATTCTTGTTGTTTTGTTTTACAGTAAACCCTGTAGGGAAATCTAAAATAATGTTAAACCTTCACATATTGTGTACACCGCAGTCTTGGCCATGTAATTTTCAAGCTAACCCTTTGAGGAAATTTGTTCAGGATAGGAAAACATAAATTTTTTTGGTTATTCTTAACCTTAGATTTTAAAAAAATTTTACATGTAATGAAGAGACTTAATTTCATTTGTGATAGTTGAAGAAAAGCCTTTCCATATAAGGAAACACTTTTATCAGTAGCTATGAACTCTGAAAAATAAATAATTTTTAAAAAAATATATGCAAAGACCACTGGAGTAAAATATTTCAAAAAAGTTATTACTTAAACTGTTCATTTAAAACCTTTACATTTCTGCTTCATTTCTTTTCAGGATCTTTAGTTGCTGATACAGGACGGGTTTACAACTACTTTCAGCTTCTTTTATTACTAAAGGTTTATGGCGAATAATGGTAGAAACATTAATTTATTAATTTCTGTAAGATTTCTTTGTACCTTCATAGGAGTGCTGTTGGGTTATCTGCTACTCACTGTAAATCTTATCCAAGTTTAGCACTTGCTCCTGGAATCTTGTTGGAGCCGGAACCACCCTTATTTACACATTCCTATAAACTTCACTTGAATGAAAAGCTGAGTGGTCTAGAACCTAATATCTTATTCTTTCCTGTGAGGTAGGATTTTCATGAAAATCTTCTTTCAGTAAAAATTTCTTTCATAGAAAAGTTTGCTAAGCAATATCTAGAATAGCAGTAAGGCAGTTTGGGGCCTTAATGTGAAAGGCCATAATGTGAAAATACTTTTATAAATTGAGTGCAATACAAATGCAGAGTATGATGAATGGCACTTCACTGCTTCCTAAAATCTAACACCTTCTTCTGTGCCACCTCTTCATCATTCTTTTTTACCTAGTTCTTAATTTTATTTTTTCCTACTACCTTGTTTTCCCTCCCCTTTTTTCTTCTCCCTGCCTTGGTCTATCCTGTGGTATCTAATAGCACCTATAGACATGATCTTACTGGGAGTTTCTGGATTAAAGAAGTAACTGACCTCTTACCTGGATTTGTCCATCCATACATAATTACCACAACATTACACATAAGCTCTCGGTAAAAGAAGAGATGAAGTATTTCCTTTTAACCTGTTCCCTTGTGTTCTGCAGATCAGGGAAATCTTGCCTCACTAAACAGAAAAAAAAATTTTAAACCAAAAAACATTTAATTACCTTTATGTGTGTCAAAAGAAGGTATGATAACCCCCAAAATATTTGTGATGGAGAATGTTCCGAGGAATGATACAATCTATACCTTGTAAGGGGCACAGGGTAGAGAGATTTGGAGTGGGAATTGTGGGTGGAGGAGAAGGGAGGTAGTTTAATCTCTCTTCTAGGGCCAAGTTGTCAGTGTGACTTCATTGTTTTGTATGAAGGACTATGAAATGTCAAAATGATAAATATACCACATCCAAGTGTACCAGGAGACATGCCACCATGGAATTTGAGTGATTGGAATCTGTCTCCATTCTCCCCACCCACCCCCCTTCATTGGTCTAGTTAAACAAAAGTTGGCTGATGATTACAGAAAAATCACAGCTATCTCTAATCACTCTAAATATCACGAGCATAAATGAATTGCTCTGGGTGATCTGTCCACTAGATTGAACCATTCTCTACCAATTCCATCCACAGCTTCAAAGTTTCTCTTCTTTACTTGCTAGTTTTCTTAGAACTGTGGAATTAAAGCTGAAAGCCACAGGAACGACAACCTCAGATTTGTCTCCTTCAGTGTTAAGTATTTGTAGATGTAATATTTGGGGATCACTGTAAGTCATTATGCAGTAAGATGGGAAAAGGTTGAATATTTCTGTATGTTACTACTTCATGTTATAGAAAGATTTAGAAAAATGTATACTGAGTAATTAGTTGCTTTGCTTTTCCTTTCAGGAAGACTCAGTTTGGTTAACAGAAGTAGGGAGTGGTCTCAGCTGTCGATTATGTAAAAATTCAGGTGAGGCTTCTATATGTTCATGAACTAGAAGAAACAAAGGACATCTATGCCGTACGGATCCTAATGTCTTTTATCATACAAATATTACACAAAGAAAACTTACATTAGGTATCAAAAAAAAAACCACCTTTACAATCTGTACATTTGTTTTTTCCTTGCAGTTCTTTTACATTATACATCTTTAAACAAATTCACATTTGGCCAGTAAAACAGCAAATCAGTTACCAAAGAAAATAAGAAGTGACATTGTTGTTAACAAGATTTGTCCTTGTTTCAGCAGATAAATATATGCCCAAACTTATTTCAAGTTGATACAAGACACACAAATTTGTATCCTAGGCTTGACGAACAAAAAATTTGTTCCATATTATTTCTGTAGATTTCATCAATCCCATGTAGTTCAGAGCAAATAATATTAATTTATACACTATACTTATTTGGCCCTTGCTGGACTGTGAAGACTTGTGGTGAAACTACTGCTTCCTATCCATTTCAGTGATAAATTCTGGAATGCTTGAGACTTTCTAGCCATGTTAATTTGACTAAGGAGACTGTGACCTTTTGAATTCCTCTAGATCACAAATTATTTACATAGAAACTAACCTGGGCTCTGTATTTTGGATCCTGGGTAAGAAGAATGAAAAAAATTTAATTGTGTTTCATAACTATGCTTAAAGAAATTGCATTGTACCGTCTTTGGTCAGAGGAAAAGAATAGGTGAAGAATATGAATTTTAAGGATGATTATAAACTCATGTTTGTTCCACATAAGGTAAGTAAGTAGCAAAGTACTTCTTATAGGATTATATACCAAGTGGTGGACCTAAGCGGCCCTGCCATGGGGATTTCTGAGTTTGGATTTAGAAAAAGGTAGATTTGTGTGTAAAGTGATTCTTTAAAACACTAACTGAAAGCTAGTCACTAGCTTTTTCACTAAAGCTCAGTTCAGTACAAGGAGGTATGCAAATGGGAACTGGTCTTTCTTCAAAGAAACTTCTTAAATGATCTGAATTCTCCAAAGAAGCTTCTACTATATATATATAATTTGTTTCTGATTAAGACTTGGTGTTGTTGGCTTTAGGTTTGGAACTTTTGATTGCTGAGATTATATGCTTGGCAGTTGGTCAACTTGTGTATGAACTTTAAGTCAGCTTGGTGTCAGGCTTTCCAAGCATGGAAGGTAAGTTCTCCCCACCAAAAGAAAATGATCATATCAATTTATTTTAGAGAAATAAAGAGTCTGACAAAGAAGTTTGTGAATAGTTGCCCAGATAATTAAATGAGCCCAGTTATCATTAACCTTCATCAACAGAAGACTCACAGGACTCTTGTGATTTTGCCAAACAATACAATTTACATTCTGAGCAATTTCTTTATCTTGTAACAAACTGAACTTCGTGAATTTGTGTACATGACCACAAGTTGTTTAACTCACACATTTTACTAAGGAAGAAACAGAATTCCAAGCCACATGCATGACTGATGTTGTATATACATAATATGTACATATGTACATGCTGTCAGCTATTATTGAAGCCTCTGATCCAA